ATCAATGTCTTAATACTCCTGCAAATCAAATGTTACATCATATGAATGGAATAAAGCAAGAGGAATGACAATTAAAAAAAGCAAGATAAATGACAGCATGATAAGATAATAAAAGAAATATGATAATATATAAAACAGAAAGACGCTCTTTAACAAACCACCCAGCACAGTACAAATACCTAATTAATATTGTATAAATCTTTTTCTTTTTCTTAGCAATTGTCCTGCTTTGGCAGGGTCTGCTTTCTCCTCTTAATTAATATTGTATAAATAAATATAATATATAATAAATGCTCCAAATCTACAGAATTTCACATGAGACACTCTTCTAGGTATACTGAATACCAAACTAGAGAGTTTAGAATAAAAATGAAACAATGATATGTCCTAAATCAAGCACTTAAAGTGTCATCAAAAGTTCAAAATTATAAAAGGATAGATTACGAAATAAAAGCGTGTACGTCAGTTCGGTAAATCAAGAGAAATCGTAACTCACCTCGAAGAAACGTGAGGATGGAAAGAAAGCGGTTGAATGTCGGAGGATGGAAGTAACCGGAGTCCTCTAACAACGAGCCCATTATCTCTGTAGCTAACATTATGAATTCAGCCTGATGTTCGCTAAGCTGATCCGACAGTTTATCTACCATCAAATGGCTACACAGGCTGGTACTTAATGCTTCAGCGTGGTTACCTATAAAAATCATAATATCACGTTATTCTTGTCCTTTGGGTTTTGCGGCTAGAGCGGCTTTCAGGGGTAAGTGGCGTCAATTGTTTAAGTCTTCACACCAGAAAGCAACCTCCCCCTTCGCTAATTCAATCAAATCCAATTATCACATCATTCTTCATAAGGACTTCCTAACACCCGTAAACATTCACGGAAATTACAGTGTTTGCCAAAATGGAAACTTTCAACAACTGGTGTGGCTTATCCCCAAAAGTCAAAGGTGTACATTACAGCATGTTAATTAACCCTTTGAAGCCGAAGCTCGTCTAAATATTATTTAATAAATCGGTCCGTACTGCGAAGAAAACACAACACTTCACCATTACAAAAGACAAATGGTGGACGCTGTTTAAGGAAATAATCCATTTACACTGAGAACAATCCGAAACCCATACATACAAAACGCACAGTTATTAACTGTGTGAAGCAGGTGGTACATATAGTTACCACTGGGTCTTAAAGGGTTAACTGTTTAAAGCTTAGTGGTAATTGTCGCACCTGTTTTAACAGTAATTCTGCATAATGATTTATTTACTTCACAATTCTTATTGTAGTCAACGATCAATTCCCTAAAAACAGTGGTAATCAGTCGATCATTGCAGTGTAGACATGTTTGCTTCATGATATAGACTAAATTATTAAATATTTAAGTAAGCTTTGGCTTCAAAGGGTTAATATAACATATTACATAGGCAACAGTACATACAGAAATTGTGAAATTATTATGTTTAGGATGTAGAAGTAGCATTTGCAAATTAAGATGTGCCAACATTGATAGTGTGCGATATTTCCTCTCTTCACAAAATACAATGCAGTGTAAAAGTTAGTTTCAAAATACCACTGATTTTGTCAAAATTAAAAGAAAAAAATTTCTTCGGTTACACTATACCAGTCTGTCGCTTTACCATCTTGTTTCCCCTTGCCCCTCACATCTTCTCTTCCACTCTTACTATGATGTAGCCCAAGCTCAAAGTTACTTTGCATCCAATGTAATTACATCTAACAACAATGCACAGGCATACCTTGGAGATATCGCGGGTTCGGTTCCAGACCACCGCAATAAAGCGAGTCACACAAATTTTTTGGTGCATATAAAAGTTACGTTTACACGATACTGTAGTCTATTAAGTGTGCAATAGCATTATGTCGAAAAAAAACGCGAGAACATTCCGAGAATTACCAAAATTTGACAGAGACACGAAGTGAGCACGTGCTGTTGGAAAAATGGCTCCGATAGACTTGCTCATTGCAGCGTTGCAACAAATCTTCAATTTGTAAAACACGCAATATCTGCGAAGCGCAATAAACCGAGGTACGCCTGTATTCACAAGTTGTCACCTTTGTGACCTGACACAGTTCTTGAATAAGTCCAAAAATTACACGTGCATTGATGTCACACTGATATCTTGATTTATCAAAACACATCTACTTGCAATGCAAGAACTAAACTTACACTTCTTAACTCCCAGAATATTTCAGATATACAATGTATCATCTGTAAGAAGAAAACTATAAAGTAATCTGCCACCGAACACAGATAACAAAGAATTCTCACCATCTGTAGACAAAATTAACGTATAAATCCAATATTTACATTTGCCTCTTTCCACAAATAACAAAAGTTCTGGTAAATTCTGCATCCTGCCTGACACAGTAATTTTAAATAAACGATTAGTTCAAAAATTTCTCTTTGGTCAATCATTTTATCCAGTCAATTTGTGTTCACTACCCAAATAATTTTTCCACTGTTACAATATTTACTTATATTTGCATGTTCTAGGACTTGACGTACATCACATTTGACAGTCATCAAATCAATCTACAAATTATTACACACACATCACTAAAATAAATGTAAAAGAACAGCACTTAATTACTACGCAAAATAATAATTAAATAACTTCTGCTGAATGCCACAAATATATTTTAAACAAACAGAAATTCAGATAATAATTCTCTACTCAGACATTTCACTTTGTAGTCCGGCATAAGTTTACCAACATTTCAGAGCGATGGGTAAGCACCTCTGAAACGTCGGTGAACTTCTATCAGACTACACGGCGTAATAAGCCATATGACAGCCGTCTTCAGATCAATTAAATTCGTCTTTGAAGGATCTGCATTGAAAAAATACTGATAAATTTTACACAGCCAAAATATTTATGTAACAAAATAGAAACAAAGTGACTTGTGGACAAATCATTTTAACGATCTAACGTTATACTCACACAACGCTGCTTTCCCTTCAGGAAATGATGAAAAGCCGGACAGAATCGCAGCCCAATGACGCACAGCTTTCTCCAACTTAACATCTTTGCAGAAGTCATTATCCTTCCTATATTCGTGATGCAGTTGCTTCAGAGTCTCCAACAGAGCCAACACAACATCTAAAAAATACAGTATGCAGTCCATATCTGTTTCAGACGTTTAACATCCTCCACATCAACCACGCACATAACACGTGTAGTGAGTTTATGATACTTATAACTTCTCACTCTATCTAATGAAACTTCTTAAACTGCAAGTTTGACGTTCACTACATACCAAATCAGATAAAGTAAATACTACCTCAGATCAATGCATCAGACCAAGCACACTAACAATTCCAATTAACATCAGAAGTTAATGTCTGCATGTTTCATTGCAATGAACTAATAGTATAAAAAACCTCAGGATATCCAACCTCAGAAAGAAGGTCTGAACCCATAACCTCACAAATAAAAATTACACGCATCACTTTAGCGCCAAAAATCACTTTAAAATTTTCATATAAAAATTTGGACAATAAGTTATTTTAAGTTTTGTTCACACGTATGGTCAATATGACCTTCCTGGTCTCTGTCCACCTAGGGAAGGAAGTAGAATTCATTCTTGAGATGAGACCTCACATTGAGCAGATTCTGTACTTCCCAATGAAAGAGTGATCATACGAATGATTGGTAGCGAAGGAGCCTACAGTTTATCATGATGGGAGCCGATATTCTTCACTTCCCAAACTAGAACACCTCTATCTGTGAGCATAAAAATCCACACACAACTCTGCCTGGACTTTGAACTTGTAACAATCTAATAAACCAATTTCAAGGTCACAATGGAAAATACATCTCCATTCCAAATAAATATAAATGTACGATGTTGTACATGAAGATCCACTCAAGTCCAAAATCTCATCTATTTTATGTAATATTTTATTGTCATTACTTAAATGATAGAGTATGGGAAGACCTTATACGAAATCTTCTCCGGCGATCAGTCATATCAAATGGCTAACGACGAAACCCACATTGCGGGGACCATTTCTGTCCCCATCATCAGGGTTCTCATGGGGACACAGATGGTCCCTGAAACATGGGTTTCATCTTTTAACCATCTGACGCAGCTAATCGCCTGGAAAGATTTTGTTGAGTTACGTCACCATGATAGCTTCAAATCATAGACCCTACATGAATTCTTACAGGCAAGCTTGCCATTGTCACAATTTATAAAAATCAAGACTATACAATGGGCAGGTCACCTGATTCGGATGGACGACATCCGAATTCCAAAGATGGTATTCAAAGGAAGTGTTGGAGGAAGACCAGTTGGAAGACCCAGGAACAGATGGTAGGATGCAGTTCAAACGGATGCCACACTGCTCCTGAGGATTAGAAATTGGAAGAAGGCAGCGGAGGATAGGACCGAATGGAAGAGGAGAATTGAGGAGGCCATGGACCGAATACGGACCGGAGAGCCATAGAAGAAGAAGAAGAAGCTTAAGGTGTGCTAGCACAATAAGTAAATGTTATAAACTGACGTCACACGGATCAGTAATAACCTCTGTATACCACATGTAGATGATCTCTAACTGAAACATGCGGTGGAAAGTGATAAATAAGACACGGCAATAAATAAGCTGTGTAGATGGATGATATTCAATTTTAGTTATAACATATCTACAGCAAGCAACATCAAAATATACTACCGGTAACATGACCGCCACAAGCTGGATGGGCACGACACAGACTTTTACAAGATGTCATTACATTTCCATCAAGACTTTAGTGTCTCTTAGTTGAGAAATATTTCTACCACAGTGTACAACTCCAATTTTCATAACATATGGTAATATACCTGGACTGGCAATATGTCTTCCGAGATAGCCATCACTAATCGGCACATGACATAATGTGTCCAGCAAGGCCAGTGTACTACATATCAGCTCCCCTGTAACAGAGTGAACATTATAATTAATCTGACATATCAGATCCTAATGGCAGATATGCTATGGGATACTGGGAACGACCCGTTCTTCAAGTGCCTGAGCACTGCGGGTCCCAACTTTTTCATTGGCTTGACCTATAGACATTCGGTAGGACTCCTCGGACGAGGGATCGGCCCGTCGCGAGGCCTCTACCTGTACACAGGACAGCACAACACAGAAAAATGCGGACAGACATCCCTGGCTTGAATGGGATTCGAACCCACGGTCCCAGTGACCAAGCGGCACAAGGCCCGCGCCTCAGAGCGCACAGCCACTGTGGACCCCCACCCAGATGATGACTATGAACAATATAATTAAAGTCTCCATAATAAAATTTTTAAAAGCAATCAACAACTGCAGAATTTTTACAACCATCTGCAGTCATCCAAGTCAGACATTTTAAGTCTATACATTACTACCAGAAGTATACTGATGAAGTCTGAAGGTTTCTGATGATGCTGTGTTATAATCTGCAAAATTTCTTTTTGGACTAGCACATCATCTAAATAACATATAGAAATAAAAATACATCCCAGAAACTGGATTTTCCTCAATAAAATCTTCTTGGGCAATCAACCGCATCAGCGAGGCTCATTCGGTTTGACTTTATGCCAAAATATAGATAAGTTACCACAGGTATATATGAAATCTATGACCATTATTCATTATTTGTATGATGAGCTGTTTTTCAGGAAAGTTCAATCTGAACTTGGAGCAGTTATACCTGGCCAATATGGGATTTACAAAACTAAATTTCATAAATAGCCATTCAATAAATTTTGTGATTAAAAATATTTACAAAAACGCATAAAAAGTTACCATTTGTAGAACTTCCAAGGATAAAGATGATACTTGGAAACCACTTATTTACATCTGATAATTCTTGCAACCATACTGAGTCTACTTCAGCCTTTTCCTTATTAACATCCACTTTTATTTGCAACTGTTCATCTTTACTCTTGTAACTCGCATCTTTAATCTCACAGTCAACTTGATCCGCCTCCAGTACAAGAGACTCCACAGTCTCTTTGTGACTTGACTCATGCAACGTGCACCTGTTTGCTCCTGATAGATCAAGATCCATAGCACAATTCTGTAGATCCAAAATTTCACCTGAAGGACGATGTACCGATTTTTCTTCACGAAGATTACCTGCACGTTTCACCTCTTGTACATCTGCTACGCGTGCTTCTTCATCTACTGTAACCTTAAATGAAGAATTAATGTCTAATTCGGAACATTTGGTAACAGCTTCATGTATTGAAGGGTTTTTGGAATTGTTTTCTCGCAACACTGATTTTTCTACTGACGGCCCAGAGGAAACGGTATTTTCTTCTGTATTCCTAAGATCCCAAAAACATGCCTGAAGCAATCTCATGAGTTGCAGAAGAGTCGGGACATCTGGCATAGAAAGTAATTCCAGCAGCATACGAATTATGTCAACCTTTCTTGCAATCTCCTTACGAACCCTTGGAACACAAGTCAGGTTTCCTATAATCCCGACCAAGATCTCCTGCAAAAGACACAGAAACAAGTTATGGAATGAAGACGGCTGTCTTCTACAATAACACGCCATGTAGTCTGGTAGACACTGATATTTCAGAGGAGCTTAATGCTTTCGTCACCAGGGTGATGAATAAGTGCAATGCAGAGAAGTATATAAGGGAAAAAGGCAGAGCGCTGGTCAGATCAAACTGGAGAGTGGGAAGAACTGGAGTGAGGGTAGGCAGGGGAAGAGACCCCAAAAGGGAGAAGAGGGACCCCAGCGAGTCCACAGAGTGGAGAAATAGTGAGATACAGAGTGGCCCAAAATGTAGCCACCAAGTTTAAACTCAATTTTCTGTTCAACAAGTGATTATAATTTCAAGAAAATTTGCTGACACATTGTGGTACTCATGCAATTTATCATTTGCTTCGTTCAATTTTGCACATAGCAAAAAATGGCAGGCTATAGCACTGAGCAGCAGGTATTCGTCATCAAAGAGTATGTTCGATCACCTGAAAGCCCAGAAAATCTCAGAAGAGCGTTCCAAGTAAAGTTTGACTAGACAGGCACACAATTTTTAACCTTCTTAAGAAATTTCACAAGGCAGAATCAGTCTTGGACATTTACTCTCAAAGCAGCGGGCCTTCAACGGTAAGGACTGAAACCAAAATTCATATCAAACACATCTTAATATAAATGGTTTGAGATGCTGAATTTACAGGTATCTGAATGATGTTTTTACGCCTCATCAATCAGGTGAAATAAAGCACCAAAATTTGTAGGAACATTTTTGGGCCAGCCCGTACATAGAAAAAGACAAAAATTAAAATATTTAGAATAAAGACAGAAGAAAATCAATTAATAATAAATGAAAAGAAAATTAAACAAAATCAGGAAAATAAAATAGAATGCATACATATCAACTCTATAAAGCCCAGTAAGTCGCACGTGTTTTAGCAATAAGTAAGTTTGCATCTTTTATTTCATGATACATGACTCTCAGTGAAAAAAGGGATTATTTCGTCAAAGAGCATTAACAAAGTAATCTTTGCAACGGTGAAAAGTGATGTTTACTTTGTGGTGCAGACGGAATTATTAAATCTTATTTAGACAAGCTTCAGCTTGGTTATCATACATTCAATGGATCCACAAGTAGTCAAAACGATAAAGACAATATTAGAATAAAATACAAAACATTCAGAGAAATACTATGAAACACACAAATACAGATCAAACATTTTAAAGACTTCACTTAAAATAAAGTTTTCACAAAGTATACACATATTATGCTAAATCCAAACATAAACAGCAGATAAAGACAAAAAAATCGTTGCAAAGATTATGACACGATAGTTCCTATTCGTTGCATCAACAACATGAATAACTGATTACATCTGCAAATGTTCATGGTTAAAGAAAAATAACGTACAAATAACAAGTATTAAAGAACAAAAGCCAACTTTGTAAGGGACTGTAAAAAACAGCCCTTATAAGGGCCGCCAGGGACAAATACAAAGAAATACAGATGAAATGAAGAATAAAATAATAAATGGGAAATATTTAAGGGCAAATAAATTAAGTTTAGTTTTATTTTAGTTTTATTATGGTTATGTGTTGATAAGCTAATGACAAACAGTAAAGAGGAAACCAAATCCTTTTCGGCAGAATATGGTCAAATGAATCCACTTAATCAGTTAGCGTGCTCACCACTGGACCCAAGGTTTGTGGGTTCAAACCTGGCCGAGGTCAATGGATTTTTAAGGGTGATAAAATCAGTATCACAACTTCCTTCGGAGGAGAAGTAAAGCCGGCGGTCCCATGTCGGCATGTAAAAGAACCTTACGAGCATGATACGAGATGTTTCATAAGCAAAATTCAGCGGCCATTTCTCACCCAAGTCTCTCCTGATTCACTACTAGATGGCTCTAGCAGATAAATCAGGATTGGGTAGAAATTATGCAGAGGCAGTGGGTTGGCCACTCAGTACTCAAAATGAACACTTCAAAGACAAAGAAACCTCCCACATGGGAGGAGGCTAAGGCTCGACTTCGTGCTGTTGCGCCACAGAAAGAAAAAGAATGCCACTTAATGCACAAGGACTGAGAGTAACTAATGACAGATCAATCATACCTACAAGGCAAATTGTACAGTGTGATCTGACATAATTAAAATACTCCATACTTACCATAAGTCTAGGTATGTTAGTGTGATGTATGATCCTAGATGTCAGGTCTAGAAAGTTGTGTTGCATCAACAATTCTACCACATCTGGCTCAATTGTCATATCCCAAAGTAAACACAGCTCAGTTTCCATATCTTCTGACCAATCTTCTGAAGAAAACTACAAATAAAAATTCATGGAAATTAGAATAGCAACATCATTTACTTCATAATACAGCAAAACCCTTCATTTACACTGTTCTGGGGCCCAATGAAAAATGCTGTAAACTGTGATAAAATATATACAGCAGGAAATGCAAAAACTTACAATTCACCTAAACCCTTAGTCAGAACGCATGGAAAATGATGCATGTAAATATATGAAATTTATGTAAGATTTGAGGTTTTCACAGCGGTGAGTCTGAATATTGCTGTCTTCTGGGTCGTTGTGCCATGTAGTCTGGTAGAAATTTACCAACGTTTCATAGGTCGATCATTAACATCTACCAGACTACATGGTGCAACAATCCAGAAGACAGCCACCTTCAGACTCTCCGCTACGAAAACCTCAAATCCTACATTAATGAAGGTATTTACTCAAATTTTATAACTGTATTCTTAAAGCACTAGACTCATAACTGTATCTGAAAGCAGCTGTTTCTGTATCATCAGCTTTTCAAGAAAAATTCCGATCCATGGAGCTAGTTTGTTAGTTAGATTGCATGAAATTCTTCCATTACTTTCTGTTATGGTCCAGGCTTCTCACTCATCCAAATGAAAATTTGATTAATCATCCTTCTTCTGTTCTTTAAATGTTGGCTTCAATTTTCCACTACACTAAAAGTGTTCACAGTGCTGCATTTAATTACGACCCCAGAGCTTTGCCTTTAGACTGACAACCTCTCTCTTCCTCTTATTATGTAAACTGCTTTGACACGTCCCACTAATCGTTCCTAAAAATCACTAAGCTGAAAATAATGAAGTCGTATTTTTGTTTCACTATTCCATATAAAACTGCACTACACTGTAATCAAGATAAGTTCCAAAAGTTCAATTTACATATGTTGAAGGCTATGGATGAAATTATTTTTTTCAACCATTCAGAATGATGACAGAATCTGCAATCAGATGAACATTCTTAACATTTTATCATGTAACATCTCTTAGTATATTAATTTATTCCTCTCTACATGAGCCGGCATAGCTCAGTTAGTGTAGTAACTGACTACAGACTGGATGTCTGGGGTTCGATCACCGATGAGGACATAAGATTTTTCCTCCGTCCTCCGCATCCAGACCGGCTCTGAGGCCCACCAGCCAGGGGTAAAGAGCAGCTGGGGCATGACGCTGACCTCGCACCCCCATCTACTGTCGAGGTTAAGAACAATTAGGAGATATACCACCTCTGCCCCCAAGTGCCTACATGGTGCATAGTGTGACAGTTTTTTTTTATTCCTCTCCACAAAGCCCTCATGTTTTTATCTTGACTGCACGCTTCACATTCAACAGACTTGTTAATTGTTTCGGTACTTGTGGGTTATCGGGACACATCGCTTTAAAATTAGGTTAGGTTAGGTTAATGTGTGTGGATAAATGACATATACTTGAAAGTTATTATATTTTATTTCAATTAATGACAAATTATTATATTTTATTTGGATATGCATGAGATGTTAATTGTTGTTACAACCTGTCGCCGGAGGCCAAAATTCGCTTATAGATTTTACAATCGTTTAAAAAAAATCACCATTATCATTTGTACGCCGCCACATGAACAACCAAGTATACGGGTATACTGATACGCATGCGCAGTTTTCCGTCCAATCCAAGTCCAGATATTCGACTATCCCGTTTTGTGTCCCGATAACCAACAAGTACCATTGTTTCTTACCTTAGTAAGTTTCATCAGAATCTTGATGACCCAACATTCACTATACAGAGTGTTACCAATAGCATCTCCCCTCATTCTATTGGCATCATCTGCCATGTCAACAGGAAGAGACGGGTTGCATTGCCTAGCTTCTTCAGGCAGTGCAGATGAATCAGCTGTTTTTTCATTATTCCTGTGCAAAAATTAAAAAGCAATTCATACATACGATAAGGAAATAAATGCTTGTCAGATGTACCCTGTAACATTTCACTCTCACATAAAAGTGGAAAAAACAAGTCGTGACAAAAATCAAACCATACAAAATCGTTGCGTTTTAGCGTTAGGAAAGTCTTATGCAGGAAGATGGCTGTCTTCTGGGTTGTAACACAATCTTGACCTGATAATGGAGGCAGGAAGGACCTCTGAAAACATTGATAAACTTCTACCAGACTACATTAAATTAAATTTCTTCATGAAAACCTCAAAGCCACAAACAGGATTAATAATTCAAACCTACGCAGTATGTTCCTGTAACCAGAAACCAAAACTTCTATTAGAAAACTGACTGTAATATTTTAATTTTTATTAAACTGCAATCCCATGTCTGGGGGACCACCACAATGGCATAGATTTTCCCCTTCACTGCAACATCAGGACCGTCCATCTCAACAGAGGGGAGTGGAAATGCATATAACAACCATTCAATTCCATTACCACTTACTTTAATAATGTGTGCACATATCCATCCACTCATTCATATACCTTCATGGTGCTATGCTTAATTACACACAAAAACAGCTTAACCTTATTTATCTACAAAGTTCCTGGTTATGTAATATCCTAAACTAATCAGTTCTGAAAGGTTCAGATAATGGTATATGACAATTACTATTATTTTATTTCTGGAATTTCTCTGGTATATTGAAATAAAATATGTTTCCAAAACAATATGGTCCTTTTAGAATATCAAACAATGGCCAAAGTCTAGAAATTCAGTAATCATAAGCAGTCCATTTAGTTCATTCTTCTTAAGTCCAAATATTTTCTTCAAAAACTATGTTCTGATTTGTAATTTATTTATTATTTATGAATTATAATTTATACTACTCAGAGAAGCGCGTATAACCTACAAACTCCATTTTCCTTCGAGCCAACTAGACATGACTTTCTTCTTTGAATGTCTGGCAAATGTCCTACATTATTTACATTCTTTGGTTTGGACTTCGCCAGTTCTTTTTATTTTAAAAAAATCACTACGATTTGGAGGATAGACTTTGCCTTTAGTTATAGAAGGAGAATTGCCTTAATGATGGCTAACCTCTGTTTGGAGACGGCACCTTAAGAAAGAAGGGGAAAGATATAATTTCCGTTTGATCCAATAAAGTGAGATATTTCCAATCTGTGGGCAGATGACAGCTAGCATGCTCTGCTTCTAGCATAAATAAGTATCAGAAACATAAATTAAAACCAAAGAAACTAGGAATGGCATTTTTTGCTGCTGTCCTCAAAACATTTATCTTCTGTTACAATGGGAAGTATCTCCTCTATCTGTTATTAACATGCAGAAGGAACAAACTAACATGTGAACTCTAAAATAACAGATATCACTTATTTATACTAGAGGCTGAGAATTTTAGTTGTCATCTGTTTTCTCTTGCCCATGTCACATACTGGATGCGTGAGTACTAAGTACCACAGAAAACTGTCCCAATGATGAAAGTAAATGTTCTTCTCCTCCAACCAGATATACCAGTTCTTCCAGGTGATTCACATGTTGTAACTGGTCATGCTAATTTCTGATGTGATGGTCATAACTGAACTATAAACAATATAAAAGGATGCATTATCTGAAGCTTTCACAGCGACTAAGTTTAACAAATTCTTCTCAGGCTACCAGCCTGAGGACGAGGATGAAGATGGTTCTCGAAACACTGGTGTTTTCTTCATTACGCCACCTTACACAGCTGATAGCTGAAGAATTTATTAAATATAAAAAGAATTTCATTTTTTTTTGCACTCTGCTGTTGTCTGTACGGCAAATGGCAACATTGAACTGTAACTGACATTTGTTCCAGATTAGTGTTGTCATGTCGCATACAGAGAAAACAAGTCTCTTCTTATTACAGACTTGTTTAAATGATCTGCTCAGGCTAGTAGCCAAACCCAAAATGATTAATATCACAGCCGAGTATGTACTGGTAAAATAATCCCATCCCCAAGTTCCTTTATTAGCTACAAATAGTTCTGTATAATCTTTTAGCTTATTTGTGGTTCTATATGTGCACTACCTGTTACCTCCCTCAACTGATCCTACATTTGATAGTCTTTTAAAATTTTCAATTCCTTTTTGAATGCTCTTCTCACTGATTTCCTTCAATGGATTCAATTAAATGGAAGAGAACTAAAGTGTAGAATTATTTTACTCCAGCTGATGCTGACATACATTTACAGTTCACATTCTTTCCAGTGTTTTGCTTTCAATGGTTAAACCCATTTTGTTTTACTTAACACTGATTGTTATTTGATAATTTGTTGTAAATACTTTGTGCTATGAAAGTATGTAAAAAAAAGAAACTATTTATTTTAGGGTCACCTTTGGACAAATATTCAAAAACAAATGTTATTTTCTTGCAACTGGAACTGTTACTGTTGCCGTAAGAGTTGACAACTCCTCGTCTACAACTCATTAACCTCCAAAGCAATCTTTTTACATTGTTTCAGTTATTAAAGCAATGGGTAAAACAGAAATCAAGGAAGTTCCCGAGATAACAGCGCATTCGAGAATCAAGAATGTAATGTCCAAACTTGCAAATGTATAGAGATGGTAGGGAAGGCACTACGGGAGGACGAAAGTCTTGTTAAGTTCTGCACCATAATCGCTGTTGGAACTCTAAACTAGATCAGCAAACACTGACTGAAAAAATCGAAATAAATTTGCCAACTCCTTTCTTGACTCACGGTTAAATTACATCTACACTTAACAATCTTATTCCAATGTCTATTTCAATTTAATTTTACTCGATGTAAGCCTGTTTCCCCGGATGAAAATACCACCTCCAACTTCGTCCCAACCAGAAGCAACCAACTGAACACACATCGCCATGAAAGCCTCAAATTATATGCCAATGTCATTTCTTAAGGTGTGTATACATGCAAGACTTACAGCCAAATATATGATTCCATTTAAGCGTTCCAAATTCTTAACCTGTTTCACTTCAAATGATGGCTGCATTTCATTGGTAACCCTATATTATAAAACTAAGTTGGTCACATTGTTTACTATTGAGCAGAATAGCCAATTGTGCCTTTGAAAAAGTGCAGTTTTCGCGTGCATGGCATACATTATGAATTAACGTCGTCAATAAATAATTAATCGACCATTCCCAAGTAAAATTTTTAGTTTCATAAATACTCCTATGCATATTATGTGAACTCTTATAAACATATGCATGCATTTTATTAATATTGGCCTTATTTTAGTGTGTGTAGCACAGAATAGAGACTTATACTAAGTATGACAAAATTTATCTAAAATTCTCCGTGTTCGCAATAATAAACGACGGTAATGAGAATATGAATCCGAGAACTATTGGCAGCATATTACATTTCTTAAATAGTTCTAAACAAGATAAACTTTTCTAACATCTGCCAATGTTCCAAGAATCTCCTTTAGGATGTTAAATTCTCTTTTATTTTCTACTAAATTCCCTTGAAATAACCACATACGACATGACCAGTGTAAACTAATTTCAAAGTATAGATTTTCAGGAGTGATGTGACTATTCTTACGGCAAAGCAGAAAGAACTTAGTTTGAGGATAATATATAATCGAAGTTTTAAAGTTGAAATTTCGTTGTCCCTGTCCTTCAAACTGTTTTATTATCAAAACTTAGCATATATTTAAATTAATACATGTTTTATAACTTTTACTTTTACATGTTTTATAAGATGGCTGCCTTCTCGGTAGTAGCGGCCTGATATCATTCTGGAGGAATATTTATTAGTGCCTCATAGTGATCACTCATGTTAAGTGCACACACTGGTCAAATAAGTTCAAACAAGTGTAAGTATTTCACTGCAGTGGATATATGTAAACTCTAAAATATTTTTTTATGTAGTGAATACAAAACATTAAGATGTGTTAAAGCCTGGAGATTTTGCATTTCTGCTCTAATATGACAAAAGAATCCAGATACACAAAATCCAGTTTACCAATGTTCCAACCATAACCTGTATAAGTCATATCCCTTCTACCAATCAGCCGTTAATGAACTAACTTCCCAACACATTTTGCCAATTACAGCGTTACACAGAACATATAAAATTCAGTTTTTTAGCTACTACTAAGAAAAATTTTATTTGGGATAGAAAATCATTTATGAAAAGTATTTTTACATGGCAAATCTTAATACGAGTGGGAAAATAACAGAATTATTACAATTTCAATATCTGAGACCTGTCTCTCATATATGACATATTGACAGCATCAAAAACTGATACTACTTCTGAATCCCAATTCTGTATAATACAGCACTTCACGTCACAAGGTATGACAAGGTTTTTAAGTATCTTCTCATTATGATTATCATGCTGTAATAATTATAATTTTAATCAATGAAAGAACATAACCAGTACAGATACCCTAATCATTAAAAAACTCTTATCAGCAGGGAAGGCCACAGAACAGAAAAATATACTTCACTGGGAAAAAATTAGCATTTATTGAATCATTAAAATACAATATAAAAAACATGATTATTGTTGTTTACACTTCAGGTAAAATGCAGCATAATACATAGATTACTAGTCAATAAAGGCATCTATGATATCAAAGATTTACTTATAGTGATATTTGCCCTAAATAAAGGTTAAATGGTGACTTCTGTGAAATTTTGGTCGAAACGTATTAAAACTAACATTTCTAACATGATGCACAGCATCATGAATTAAAATTCCAATATATATATATATATATATATATATATATATCTCTCTCTCTCTTCCCTTGTTTTACTCTTTCGTTATTGTGTCTTCACTTTCTCCATTTATTTCCTTATTTATCTCCCTTCTTCTTCAAATTTAACCTCCTGCATTCATCTTTACGTTTACCGCAATAAACTACATTCACTTAAATAATTTCTAACACGCTTAACAGTTACTAATTTGACAACAAGTATTTTAAGATCTGGAAATCAGAGTGTCATTTTCGCCATTCAGCCGTAGTGCGACTGTGTGCCCACCCCTGAGTTTGAGCTGACCGTGATCTTCATTGGACCGCATCTCAACAGAGGAAAGCATCGGCCTTGAAGTCACCGCTGCTTGGATCAGTTCACCGATCAAACGAACCACGAACATTATTCTTCGAACTTTTGTTTCGCTGTAGGGCTGGTGTCAGTTGTTTCATGCCTCACGACTTAAGATCAGCCACGTACCTCGTACTGGATTAGTTTCGATCTGTAAGTCGATCGCCGGTACTATCCTCTGCAAATTAATCTTCATTGGTTCCGAATGAGAAGCCCTATATGAAGATATGAATCGCCCTGATGATGGAGGCAGTATGACCTCCGAAACGTTGGTAAACATCGACCAGACTACAC